TTGAAAAAAGAAGTAACTTAATATAAAGTATATTTAATTTGAGCGTGTTTTGGGGAATTCTTATATTAAAACCTTATAGATTTCGGTAAAAGTGTATACGCTCTTTAACAAATGCATTATAAAAATATTACTAATGCCATCCTCGGCTTCTGCTAAATTATTTCTCATAAATATTTCTGTCTTGATAAAGTTATATTTCCAAGGTTGTCACTCAACTTTGTTTTTCTCCTCTATCAGAATATTGGTGGGATGATTTTCCGCGGATGTTTCCAGATCTTCAGGAATGATTGACGACCCTCGTCCTCCGCTATCGATGTGATCGGAAATCAATAACCTTTAGGTCAATGGAAATACACAGATTTTGGGTCTTACGCGGCAAATTAAGCTCTTGAAACACGAAATAAGGCGAAACCTGATCGACAAGTGCGCGTGTAAATTCCTTTTCTCTGAAACACAGCAGATAAAGAGCATTTATTACTCTAACAAACTCTCTCACGCCGATAATTAAACGCTTATCCAAACAGATTTAGTGTTTAATAAAGTACGCTTTAAACACTTCATTTCATGAGAGAAATTTGCAGAACATTAATAATTAGAATTATCTGAAAAGATCTGTTAAATGTGTAATACTAATTGCTTTAAATTAGGATCATTGCATTATTAAAATCATATAAAAGCTTGTATTATTCTGAGAATGCAAAATATGATACTGTTTGTGTTTAAAGTGTCCTGGAAGTTTGTTAAAATATTTAATATGAATAAAATTGCCAGTGAAAAAAACCTTAAATTGAAAAGACAATTAAAGAATATTAGACTAATCAAAAATAGCTATTAATCGTGAAATGAAAACAATAATTAATTATGATTATTGTCGTTGTTTTCCTTATTATTATTATTATTATTATTATTATTATTATTATTATTATTTTATTAACATTATTTTTATTATTATTATCATGGTAGCAGGTTTAGTATTATTAACAGCCTATATCACAACTAAAACCAACGTTATTTGCAGCTGCAGGCAATAATACTTAGGTTAACAGTTATTAGTATTGTTATTATCATTACAGATATAGCTAAATATAACTACTCCGCGTGTCTCCAAGTATGAAATATAAATTTTTACCATAATTATCATCACTTCTCTTTCACAAAAACAACAATAATGACAGTCATCATGATCAATAATAATAAAAAACAATAATAATCCAATCGCAATCGCCGGTTACTTTGATTATTATTATTATTTTATTATTGTTTTTATTATTATTATTATTATTATTATTATTATTGTTGTTGTTGTTGTTGTTTTATTATTATTTTTATCATTATTATCATTATTATTATTAGTTGTAGTAAATAACAATAATTAATTATTATTATTATCATCATTATTATCATTAGTATTATTATTTGTTGTTGTAATAATAACAATATTAATATTAATAATATTACTAGTGGTATAATAACAATAGTTAATTAATATTATTGATTGTTGCTGTGTATCTCATGTAAAATCCAATAGCCTATGAAATAAAATATAAAGTTTTCAGTCAAATACGTTTTAGTATTTTATTGTAATTTATTTTATATAAACATATACTAAAAAGAATTATTAAAATGCACGTTTTCCCCATTATAGTTCAACTGTGCTATCTTTTATAATCGTTATAATTATAATTGTCTAATAATAATAATAATAATAATAATAATATTAATAATAATAATAATAATAATAATAATAATAATAATAAGCTATTTTCCCGTAATAAGGACAACATCTTGGCTTAAGGCCTGAGGATTTTGCATCTGCATCAATTCATAATTCAAACACGACTGTGGCAGCGATCAATAAGACAAATGCCTTTAACTCTCTCTGGTATACCTGCAGGGCATATGCATATATGACATCACGCATACGTAAGATATTGTTATTATTTGCGCGCGTTTAATTCTGACGCAGATGCCATTTCATAACCCTAAACGATGCAAACATTTTAATTGATCAAATACAAATGAGCTGACATAAATAAAAGCGCGTGTAAATAAATAATATGAGCTTGAGCTTGATTTTTGTTATTGTCGGGTGCTTTTTGTGTGTGCAATGCAATAGTTGCATTTGTTTATTTTCATTAATATTGTCATTATTATTATGTTAGATAATTTCCGATCAAGATTGTCTTCAATAGTGTGACATTTGGCGAACAGGTGCTGATAAAGAATGACA